CACCCAGGCGAGGTTGGGTGCTGGGGCACCGGGCTGGCAGCGCTCCCATTTCCCAGGGTGGGATGAGGCGGCTTCCGCTCCTTTTGCTCCCCAAGACGGCTCCCTTTGGTGGCAGGCAAGGAGCAGCCCTGGCACAGGGCAGCAGGCAAGCTCACCGGGCAGTGCCGGCAAACGCCCCATCGGCCAGGCTGCGTCATCGCCCTGCGCCGCTGCCACCCTGCTGTGGCACCCGCACTGATTTCAAGAGGGGTTGAGTGCTTAAATGTCTTTGAAGATCTGAGCCTGCGAGTGCTGATTCACCCACGCTGCTGACTCAGGCTGCGCCTATTTAAAAGCTGCTGTCCCTCGGCTCCAGGTCCAGTGGTGGGTCAGCAGCATGGGCAGGGTATTTGCTCCGGTCCCTGCAGCTCACAGCAAGATACCACCATCGGTTTCAGAGCACATTAATATTTGGGGCAATGAACAGCGGCAGACAAGGGCTGTTAGCTTGTCCGAGCTTGTGGTATCACCAAAGGGCAGTTCCTCTGTCCCCCTCCACCCCCCACCTTCCTGCATGTTTCCTACAGCTCACGTGTTACCCCCACAAGAAAAAACTACTCTGTTTTCAGCCAGACAGGGTGCTAGCTGGCTGCACGGGCCCTGCCGCGAGCCTGGGGAAGGCAGTAAGGGTGGCCGTGCGGGAGATGGAGAGGGGAGGCCCACCCTTCCGAAGGGCAGTGCAGATTTGGGCAGCTATCTGGCATTATTTCCCCTCAGCCTTGTTTTCATGGCTGCCCGGCTATGATAGCCAGTGTTTTCTCACACAGCCTCGGCCCTGCTCTCCTCTCCCATCATAAGCCACACTGACTGGGCACCTCTCCATCTCCAGTCTCACAGCGCCAGCCAGACGATAAGCCTGATCAAATTGTGTATCTGCAGGGAAACAGGTTATCAGGCAGCTTCTTGGCTAGTACAAAACCAAAAACAGCAGAGCCACAGCCACTCACACCATGCCAAAGCCAGCCTTCGCCTCCGAACGGAGGGATCGTGAGCTTTTCGGCAAAGCGCAGCTGCAGTTTTCTCTTTCCTCTTACTGGCTGCCCAGGTTGTGCTGAAACTACAGACCCCTCTAGAGTCATGAAAATTAAAATGCTAAGGAAATGGGGACAGGTACTGGGCCATCCTGCCTAAGGGTGTTGTACTGGCCACGGACAGGTAGCCCTGAGCTGGCCCCGGCCTCGGGGCTGAGCTCCCACCTCCCCACAGCTGCGTGGGTGCCTGCTAGGCAGGGTGTCCCCAGCTGCGCTCTGCTGCGCTCCCCTCCCCTCCTCTTCATCAGCTTGCTCATATGCAGGTGATTTCCATCCAATTTCCATCAGAAGGAGCCAGGTGTATTTAAGCTGCAGGGCTAACAGCCTTGGGGAAGGAGTGAGAAGTGGTCTTGTAGTCTTGGGGGAGAGCTGATGGCTCCTTCCCCTCTCTGTCTCAGCAGCCTGCTTCTCTGGGAGGCAAAGGAGCGGGTCTTGTTTGGCTTATACCTCCTGAAGCATTTCTCTTTTGTTGTTTAGGGGTGAGAGTGTGTTAAGGGATGTGACCCTTCTGTCCTGATGCATTTGTGGGGCGTGCATTAAGCCTGTGTGGCACTTGGATTGCCTGTGGCAGAGGCATGGACTCTTTCTGGGACTATACATGTGAGATACCTGCTGGGCTGTGTTCCACTGTTGAACCTTGCTAGTCAGGAAAGTGTTTTCTCCATTAAACATTTTTCCTTTGTTTCTATTTCCTTTGAGGGGGTGTGTGTGTTCTCTTTTTTCTCCTGGCTCCCACAAAATTAGGCTTGTCTGAGATATCTCAGAAATCTGTTGTTTCTAGCTACTTTCAACAGAAACCAAATCACTTTCAAACCTCAATAGGTCATGAGGGCAAGACTTAATTTTCTTTGTGCAATATACTTAGCACCTCACCTCTGCTTCCTGTTTATTTCTGATGTGAGGGCCCCCCCTCCTTGAAAACCCCTCCGTTACACAGGCTGGTATGTGCTTGTTCAGCCTTGCAAGAGCTGCCTCATGATATTTCATTCTCTTGTCCCTGTATATTGTTTTTGAAGAATCTTTTGCTTTCAAAATAGGTTAAGGTACTGCCAGGCTGAACAGACTTACTTCTAGATAAACTTTTGGATGAATATTGACAGACTGTGCAAAGCTTGCTACACTGCAAGGAAGTCTCTTTTGAGTAAAAAAAAAAAAGCTTTTTCTTGACAAACGATTGTTGCTATTTTTTGTTGATTGTGTTAACTATCACCATGCCCATGGGAGCTCAGTGTCAGCGAAATCTGTAGTGCCTGTATTGATCCTAAACTGTGCCAGTAAGGACTCTTACATCTTAGTGAAAACATCCTGAACTCAGTTATTTTGCCTTAAGGCTGAATGGTTGGCTGTCTTTAAACTGACAGACAGGTCCACTCTTTGCAAAATGAGCATGATTTTTAACTCGAACGCAAGCTATCGCCTAGGTTTACATCATTGTGACGAGTCATTTTGCAAAGAGCACCTGAATAAGATTCAGGTAGGGAGGTTGTGGTGGTTGTTCAGATGTTTCTTTAATGAGCTTTTAACTCTTATGAAGGCAATTAAAACAGCCGGTGGCTGTATAGCTATTGGAGGTACCTGGGCAGCGCGTGAGCCCCTGCACCTTTCTCTAGCTGCCATCAGAGCTGGGGCAGCTGCAGCCTTAGCTTCAGCTGCTCCCCGGTAGCTGCCCGGGCCTTGCTGGTTTGGGCATGGCTTTATCCAACACAGTTTTTATGGAGTTTGGTAAGGGGGAAGCTCGTAATGTCTTACTTCAGCTTTTCTCCGTGGAGCAGAGCTTCAGGGTGGATTTCTTCTGGCCCTCAAATTAAGTGTGTTGGTGACAGCTGTAGTCAACATGGAGGCGCTTATACTATTGATGAACAAAAACAGCTGCTGGAAAAAAGGGAAAATATGCTATTTTGTTCCTAGAAACTTGCATATAGCTTTATAAAGTGATGCTGCATCTCAGTCCTGCCAGGACTTCATTTAAGCCTGTATGGGACACATACCTTCAGTCACAAGGGTCTAAAAGACACCAGTGCTTATCAGTTTGGTTTGGGTTGATGGTCACTTGAAGCAGTGTCTGTGTAAATAGACGTCCTTCTGTAAGTTTTGGGAGTTTCCTGTTTAACTTTTTAGCACTACAACTCCCTTAAGGTTTGCTCTGGGCTTTCAGAAGTAACTGACAGCTCATTAACAGCTTTTTATTAGCACTGAAAACCATGGGAGGGAAGCTGCACTGGTCATCTGGAGGCCTTGTCTTTGCTAGGCAAAAGGTGCTTGTTGCCAGGTATTAGCTCATGTACTGCAACACAGGGTGCAGTCCTAGGTGTCTTCATTTCACAAAGAAAAATGTGTTAGAACCTCTTCTATAGATGAGATGGTGAAGTATCAGATCATTTCGATTACACCACGCTGGCAGGCTGAGAGTGAGAGGAGGGGAGAAGTCTTGTTCCTCTTGACCTCCGAAGGGACAACCCTTTGCCTTTTTTCCTATCACAAATCCAAGCTGATAGCAAGCACTTCAAATCAAAGTCACGATTTGGCCAGCTTATCAAAACAACTATAAAACCTAAAGGAAAAATTGATTTGATATATTATGTGATTGGCACTAAAAGGGCCCTGTTTGTACCGTTTGCAGGCATGGCGGAAGCGCTGGTTCGTGCTGCGCAGAGGCCGCATGAGCGGGAACCCAGATGTGCTGGAGTACTACAGGAACAACCATTCCAAAAAGCCCATTCGGATCATCGACCTCAACGAGTGCGAAGTGCTGAAGCACTCGGGGCCCAACTTCATCAAGAAAGAATTTCAGAACAACTTTGTCTTCATTGTGAGAACCACCTACCGCACCTTCTACCTGGTAGCCAAAACTGAGGAGGAGATGCAGATCTGGGTGCACAACATCAGCCAGATCTGTAACTTTGGACATCTAGAAGATGGCACAGGTAGGGTCATGCTTGTCTTGGGGGTTGGAAGGATGATCTTTGTCTGGGCTCCTCCACAGCAGCACCCAGGGTGAGAGGAAGCATGGACCTTGCTGGCTGGTTGGGCTGGGCAGGGCAGGTGGTGTGGGACTCTGTTCCTTAGAGCTCCACACAGCACTGAGATGCTGCTAAACCCTGATTTGAAAGTTATCAGGGATCTTGCTTCTGCTGGGTAGAAATAATAGCTGGCAGCTTGGTCTCACTTTGATGAAGCAATTCCTGCTAGAATAACCAGCAGGTCCTTAATAAGAAAAGGTACTGTTTATGTGAAAAGCTGACTGACTGTTATCTTCTGGGGCCGTTTATTTCATTGCATGTCCCGTATTTATTTAGTTTGGCTTAATGTAAGACACCTGTTCTGGGAGAGTGTCCTCCAAAACTCGCATTTTCTCAGGCTTTGCTGGATGTGGAATGTGCACAGACTTGGGTGGATATGCACATACATAAATCAATGACAAAAATACTGAGCTGTCTTAGTCTATTAGTGAGAAGAAAAGTAAAGAAAAGGCAGAGGACAGGAGAGTGTTAGAAGTGTGTGTCTAGACTTAAGAGATGGTCCTGCCAGTGAAGCATAAAGTCAGCCTGTTTTGCCAGGACCTACACCTGTATATACTCAGCAGGGTGAATGTCTTGGAAAGCTTCCAAGAATTAACCACTCCAAGATGGATGTAGCCAGTAATTAAAGTCGGGACCTGTATCATCATTAGCTTACCTTTCAAATGAGACAATCGGGCTCAGAAAACAGCAATCTGTCTTTCCCTTGACATTTCCAAGGGGCAGATACAGCAGCAATTTGAGAGCTTCATAGGAAGTGAGTCAGAACGAAGTCCTTCGCCATGGTAAAAGGTAGTGCAAAAGCAGAAGAGGGTGGTGATGGAGGGACTTGATCCCAAGGGCAGTAATATGTTTGGGGGTATCATAGTGTGGCTGGGCAGATTATCCTGCCGTGGTCCCTGTGCTGCTGCACTCAGGCTGCTACTGGTGTCTGCAACTGCCGCATAGCCATACCATTACCTTGTAACTTGAAAGGAAACAAAAGGCCATGGTGAGATGTTTTGTTTTAATCTGTCGTGGCTCCTGGCCTTCTTTAATCTTCTCTTCAGTAGTTTATTCTGAGGGGAAATGGGAGTGGAATGAGCACTGCAGTGGTCCTGTTATAAATGTGATGTCTGCTCTCTTCCCATTCACTTTAAAGACCACCAGGAAAATACGCTGACATATTTTTATGTGCCAGTACAAACTGCCCATGAATGCAACTTGCAAACTAGAGCTGGTAGCTTTGAGGGATTGGAGTCAATAGCCCTTTGGAACTTGGACATAATTAGGGATATTCAGTAACCCCCT